AGCAAACACATCTGCCACAATAAAACAGCACAATATATTACTATCTTTGTCATAGTCACAACTTTTGGGCATTTGTGGCATGACAAAGGGCATGGGTATCTGTTTGCTGCTTCTTTGTACTACCTTAAAATTTTTTATGGTGGCACAAAGAAGAGGAAAGGCAATATCTGTTTCCACAATAAGCATTAGAGTTGTTCCCTTGATGTCTATAGGGTCTGTGTGGGTACAGGGATTTAGCCACATGTGGCATGTTGTGGGATCAAGGCCTCCCTTGGTAATTAGATGACAATGTATTAGGAATACTACAGCTAGCTGGATCAGACAGATATGGATTAGGTCTTGTCAGGTAAATTATGTGCTCATTTGCAATAATCCAGTGTTTTGGCAGCTATACAATATATTTCTTGCAAAAACTTACAGTAATGATTTTAAACCTGGATAGCTTGATGGGAACAGACATCCAGCCTTTACCTAATTGTAGTGTGATGCCTTCCTCCCTACTGATAGAGCGATACTGGACCTCTATCCTTTCAGTTATTCAGCATCTCTTCCACCAATGTAAAAGGCAGCTACTATTATAATCACCAAGCCATCTGAACTGCAAGGCTAGGGACCAACATTCATAGATTTCATAGACATTAGGGCTGGAAGGGACCTCGCAAAATCATCAGGTACAGCCCCTTGCCCAAGGGGCAGGAAGTATGGTGGGGTCAAATGATCCCTGCAAGATAAGCATCCAAGTGGGTCTTAAAAGTGCCCAGAGTAGATGCTTGCACCACTTCTGGGGGGAGTCTATTCCAGACTCTGGGGACTCATATAGTAAAGAAGTTGGGGTTCTGTAACCAAGTCCCCACTGTGCCTTCACTCCTCTCAGCTTCTCTGTATAAGGCTTCTTCTCTTTGAAATTCAAAAAGCCTGAGCCTAAATTGATTCAATCTTTGCAAGTTAGTCTAACCTGCAAAGCTTGAACTGATTTGGAGGTGGATAGATGTTCCCCCTTTTCATTTCAGAAATGCAGGCACAAGCCTGCAATGGCACAGGCTAGAAGCCGGGGGGAGGAGGGGAAGGGGTGCTAGAGCAGCCCTCCCTTCCCTTCCACAGAGTTGAGCTGGGGGGTGGGAGGGCCAGGTCCCAGGAGGAGACTCTGATTAGAGTGGGGTATAAACCCCCTACCCTGCCTGCACCGTCTCAGGCTTTTCCTTGCTGGCTGCTCAAGGGGTGAGAGTTGCCAGACCCCAGCCCTGGGCTAGCACTCTGAGGCAAAGAGGAGGTTGTACAGTGTATGCATCTGTTGGTGATACTGAGCTTTTCAGTCTCCCTCTCCATGTCTGCAAACCTGTCTGCAAACTAGCCAAAGGGCTGATAAAACCAGTGCTATCAGCCCATTAGCAGAACAAAAGTCTCTCTTATTAGTTCAAGCTCTTCTTAAACAGTTTTTTCCAGGAAAGGACCAGAGGGACTTTACCAGCTGACCTGTGGATTAGCTCCAAAAAGCCCTAAGCTGACACTGTTCTGCCGGTTCCAGTGAAATTAGAGATGCCTCTCAGCACTAGATGGGAGATGGGAAAGAGGGAGCAGGGAATCCCTGTTTGACCAGTGAGCAGCGAGGGAAGCCAGGCAGACCCTGCTATGCCTGCAGTCTCCCCCGGACCTCTCACTAGGGAGGGGAGGGGTGGGGCCAGCCTGTTTTCTGGAGCAGACAGCCCAGCCCAGCCCAGCCAAGCATCTGGGATGCTGGAGGACTCCAGTTTAACTTAAACCTGGGACAGACATTGCATAAACTGGTTTGACCTAAATCAGTTAAGTCTGATACTACATTCAACCAGGTTTATCTTAAGCCAGTTTCAGCCATTTCAAAACTGGTTTATGTACGTGGAATTTATGTTCTGTTACAGGTTTAAACCAGTTTCTGATCACTTAAACAGGTTTGTGTGTAATGTCCTAGCCCTAGTCAACCATTAAATAGCACTTGCTACAGTAGAGGGGAAAAAACAGTGTTGCCAACTCTTACAACTTTATTGAAAGTCTTGTAACATTTGATGTTCTACTCAAAATATTAACTCCTGCAGACAACTGATTAGAGGAATACAGGCTAGACAGCTTTAAAATGTGCTTAGAAGATTTAGAATATGACTCATGTCATTCTTAAAAACTAAAAAATCAGAAGACAAATAAAATTACTTTAAACTTATTTTTTAAAAGTCTCAAACATGTTGGTGCCTATTACATTAGTTTTAACATTTGGAGTTCCATAGGAATATGCTGAACATATTGCCCAGTCATAATACAAGTAACACCACTATCTGCCAGCTAACTGATATGATTTGTTATTGCATCAATTTTAGGAAATTATAACAATGGCTAGAAGAGACTTATGAAGCTCACTAATCAGTTTGTTCATAGAGGTTAAACCAAATGTGTTCATTTACATACCTTTTGCAGTACCCAGAAGTCACAGGTCAAAGTCAAATTTTATCAGGAACAAAAAATAAGGATTTTTTTTTTTATTTTTTTTTTGCAGGGGGCTGCAGGACGAAAGGGTGCATTTAAAAAAAAAAGTACTTTCAACTACATTACAATATGAGAAAAACCTGCTCATTACTAATTAATCTGGAATGACCTTCATAAACAACCTTACAAAACTCCATTACTAACTTTCTATTAATAAACTTTTAAATGTACCATATGCCAGTGGGTAAGAAGCATAAGACCTGCCTGTGATCATCTTGACTCTTGCACTTAACTCAGAAAACCTCTTCCTCCGCTTATTTAGAGAAAACTTAAGGATTTAATAGCTTGTTTTAGAAAATGCCTTGTTTCTCCTAATAGAAACAGGTGAACTGGTTGTCCCATATCACTCACCATTCTCAGTCTGTAGGTGCTTGCTGTTTTTTCAGTCACACAATCATCTTCTCACTTAGACACAATTTATATGATTCAGGTTAAACAGGGCAAGTAGAGGTACAGAAGGACAGGTTTGGAATGTTGAGAAATACTGGGCCAATTCTCTTCTCATGATATAGTAGATCAGGATTAACTTCATAGATGTCAGATAAATCACACCAGCATACACTGGTGTAAAATAACATCCAGGTAAGCAGTTTTAGAAAAATTAAAGAGTATTTCTGCCTTAATACCCACTAATGAAAAGATAAATGACTAACGAGAAGCAAAGCAGGCACTTGACAAAAAATGATGAAAACATGTTTTGTAGAAGCAGACAGATAGTCCCCATTTGCACTGTACCCAGAGCCCAGAACACATTAAAAACAATGTATACCTTATAGGACAGGGGATACAGTGCGCTCTCGCTCTTGCTCTCTCTCTCTCTCTCGATAGCACATGTTCAGAAACTGTTAAAGGTACACTTTGGTCACCTGGAGCTGAGGAAGGAAGTTAACGGTAAAATACGCACTGGTTTCACTGGGAGGCTGAATTCAGCTCCTGATAACATATAGGGTACAGACAGAAGTGCAGCTTCCTGCTATAACTGAGAGCACTTTGCAAGAAGTGTTCTGAGTTACAGTGGTCCCCCAGACCAAACAGAAGCTCACTGTTGGTTCCAAGGAGGGAAATCTAGCTTCTGGCTAGGAGCCTGCAGTTGGTTTCCCCTCTCAATGGCCCCCTCTCCCTCCCAGCCTGTCCTTGTGTTCAGAATGGGAGTGAGGAAAGGGAGCAGAGGGACCTCATTTTAGCGGTTCCCCAGCTGTCACTGGAGGGTTGGGTGGGTGAATTGGATCCCCACTCCACCCTCCAGCAGGGGCTGAAAACCCCCCAGACCGAACTCCCTCTGCTCCCTTTCCCCCCTCCCATTCTGAAAACAGCTCAGATGCTGGCAGGAAGGCAGGAAGACACAAGTTACAGAAGACAGAAATGTCATCTGAACCCTTATGCAATGAGGGTTACATTTTTTTGCAGGATCTGAGCTTTGCAGCCATGTACTTCTGTTTGGTCACAGCTGTAGACTGTTTCAGGGACCCGATCAGGCAAAAATTGTCACTTCTGTCTGCACCTATAGTATTCCTACAGCAGCCTTGTCAAAACAGAATTTTCACACTGCTCATTTAGGTGTAGTATCCTCTGGAATGAGTGACAAAGTTTCCATTGACATCTGTGGTAAAGTATCAGGGTCTTATCAGCTTGATTTTGTGGTAACCTCAGCAGAGTTTTGGTAATGTTTTCAGTCAGAGCTTTTCATACACTATTATAATGAGTGCATCATTACTTTGGAACCTGATCACATAGGATTGAAGTTAATGGGAGAGTTCTGAAATTGAGTTCAATGGGAAGTAGAGATCTACACTGTGATGTTCTCCAGATACTGTAAAATAAAAGACCAGGATTTCTTTTTGATTTACAGCATATCTCAAATGGCTCTTTCTTAATTTTTAACAAAGAAAATGAAGTTTAGCCTACCTTACACTCATCCTGAAGTCAACAGAGTACATAAAGAATGGGCCTGGGCAGAAGCTGACCCAAAATACCACTGTTCATCCTAAATATGGTCTGGCCTTCTACTGCAGGAAAAGGGCACTTTGCAGTAGGGAATCCTCTGGAGAGCCAGTAGGTGCTCAGCATTTTGCAGGGCTTTTGTGAGCCCACAGAAAATTTGGAGACTTCTCTATAGAGCAGATTTTCTCCCAAATATGATAGAAGAATGATCCTTTCATAGACCCAATTGCTCCCAACACTTCAATGCTTTCTCAGGGTTTGATTATGCTGACAAGAAAAATAGACCACTAATGGTCCATGTGATGAGAAACACTGCTACAAGGTCTGACCTTAAGTCAAATCACATTGTGGATGTGCCCAGTCCTATGTAGGATGCACAGACTGCAACATTCTGTAAGTTTTCTGGATATAAACTGAAATTGATTTATTTGAGGTAGGTGTTGAATATGTTCCAGTTTGCTATATGGTGTGACATCCTCCTTTCTCTGGACAGAAACATTTAATTTCACAGATATAAAAATCAAAGAATGAACTAGATGCTTGTTTGCAATGTCTTTTACTGAAAAATACATTTTATTTGTCATAACATTCAAAAAACTTGATACAAATCCTTGTCCAACCAGTTACAAACTTTGGTATTCAAAGGTTTCACACAGTCAATACTCACATGATCCTCATCTAATCAAAATTTCACTGATGTGCAACACACTTAGTGCAATTCTCAGAGCTATTTTGCTGTCCTTATGTTCCAAACTCACAGCATTCTGTAATGTGATCACTTCAGACTTCAGCTAGGAACTTGCCACAACGTCATCTATGTTGAAAACAGCTCAAAGAGTCAAATTCTCTTTTTTTTATATGTCTTCTCTTTCCATAGACAATATCCCATTATCATCACAAAACCTTCACCACACTCAGCTTTTACCATTTGCCATATAACCCACAGCTCTTTAATCAAACATACCACCCACATTCTCTTTTTTAACAATTATTGCGCTTACTTCACATTTGTGCTGTTAAATAACATTGATTTTCCCTCAGCCTCCCACTCCCCCGAAAGGAATATAATAATCTTAAACAGCAATCATTTTTAAAGTACTGTACGTGTTCTCAGGTAGCCACAAGTTTATAATAATTAAAAAGAAAAAGGAATGACACTTTGGCCATCAACACTAGATAGTAAAGGCATCTTCAAATGCAGACAGGAATAAACACGCACCCATAAAATATTTTTAAGCCATTCACCAAATTAAATATTATTAAAGCTAAAAAAAAAAATAATTTAACCCCAGTGCAAAAGACTTACACACAGTGTATGCATTACTCAGGTCTCATTAAAGCAGGGGTGGGCAATTCTTTTGGGCAGAGGGCCGCTTACTGAGTTTTGGCAAGCCATCAAGGGCTGCATGACAGGCAACCAGGGGCAGATAAATATTAATTTTCTAAAATTTTTAGGGGCCCAGCAGGCTGGATAGAATGGCCTGGTGGGCCGCATCTGGCCCCCGGCCGGATTTTGCCCGCCCCTGCATTAAAGCCTTCAAACAGGATCTGATCCAAAAGTCAGTAAAGTTAACCAAGCCTGCAGTGGGGTTTGGATCATGTCTAAAGGTTTAGGAGGAACTTGAGCAGTACACAGGACCTGTGCTGGCCTAAGGCACAGGGGTGAATTTCACCTCAAAATGTACTAGGGCTGCAATATGAAACATATAATACTAGCAGTTTGTGAACCTGACATAGAAGGATTGACTCTAATCCAAGATATGTGGTTAAACATCTCCTGATTAGCTTAAAAAAATCACTACAGACAGGGCATGCATGTCAAAGCACCATGTTACTGGATTTTTCTAGTTACTCCCTGTGGCAATGTCTACATGCATATTTCATGTTAGACTCAAGCCCAAAATACTACTTGTATATACATAACGTTAAAGATGTGGGACTCAATCCTGCAAGATGTCAAGTACACTGGACCAAATTCAGCAGAAAGCTGAAGCACCTACTTAATTTTATGCAGGTAAGTATTTCCAATGAAGTCAACAAATCTATTCAAGTTTTCAAAAAGTTAAGCACCTGCAAAAGAGCTTTGCTGAACTAGCACCAGCAGGCTTCTCACCTCACAAAATTAACCCTTTTATGCAAACATGAATTGTGTTTTGTATCAGACAAAATTAAGCAAGCATTGTTTGACAACAGGATTGACACATTCTACTGAAAAGACCTCCCCTGAGAAAATAAATAATTGTTGCTCTTGTCTCATGTTATTGCTTTCATTTTTGCAGGCAGTTAGACAAAAGAAATTACTATAAAATTTTTCTCCAACAATATATATTGAAATACAGGGCACCTGGGGTTTTTTTTGTTGTTTTGTTTTTTCTCTTTCAAGTACACCGGGCAAACCTGTAAACCCTGAGATTTTGCATGTGCAAACCTATCCCTTGTAAACTGTAATGAAAAACTTGTCTCTGAGCACCAATAGAAGAAAAGGTATGTCACTATATTTTTAAACACAGATGCTAGTATTATAATGTATGTACCATATATAAGGTTATGTGACTACGGTCAATCTACTTTGACACCTGTACTGTCCTGCAGTCCGAAGTACTATCTGTTTCATATAACATAGAAATTCTATTTTAACATATATAGATTTTTATCATTATCATTTATGAAAACAGGAAAGATGCATTAATTTTCTTTAAGAGGCATTTGAAAAGACAAGCAAAATACTGGTATACATATTCAAAGCTTGTATATCAAGGCACTATGATTGAGGAGTACAGGGATTAAGTCTATAGTCTAATAGTTTAATTGGGCACTTTGGAAAAAAACTTATAATTTTTTCATCTGATTTTCACAATAATGCAGATAAATGAAAATAACATAGTTTAAATCACTCACTATATGTATACTTGTAGTGCATTTCACCCTGAGGGTAGTTTCAATTTATGCCTGTAAACAAATGAATTCTGGTGAAATAAAATCTCACATATGCACTTAACAATAGCTAGCTGAATTTCTGTATTTAATACCCTTTTAGTGAAAAACTGGACAATGCTAAATTTGATCCTAGGATTCTCCTTATTTTGACAAACATATAAAATACTGCTTAAATACATTTCTATATTTAAAAGTGGACAATTTTTCCCCCTTGCACTTTGTGGGAGTCAGAACCTACTTCTAATATGAAAATGTTAAGGTTTTAGAGACATTTTTAGAAACATGAACTATGTGGATTGTATTTTTCTCCCTTTTAAAATTATCTGAGGGAAAGTCTACCTCAACTTTAAACTGTGGAAAACTACTAGTTTTTTTCCCCCAAAAGTAATCAATTTAAAATGTTTTAAATGTTTAAAATTGTTTAAAACCAATGTTTTTAACTTTCTCCTCTTGCTGGAGATATGTAAAAAAGAGGAAGACATACAGGACCAGATCCTCAACTAGTATAATTAAGTATATTATTAGAAGTATAATTCTACCGACTTAACCAAAACTGAGAGTCTGGACCGTTATTTGCATTTTAAGTTGTTGTCTAAGGGCCTGACACAATGGCAAAATCCTGGAAAAGAGATAAAAGTTACAGCAAACAGATGCAGAAATCAGTTATATCTAGACTTCCTTTCCAAATATAGGCAGTCGCTATTGAAACAGATTTTCCATTGCCCTTAACAGGTTTCTTTCAAATTAAAATCTGTAGAACTGGATCCAATTCCATGTGATATGAAGAAATATTAACTTCAACTAGTAACTTGACATTTAAAGTGCTTGCAAATGCTTTCTATGAAGCCTTAATAATATTTCCATTAAACAGTTTCATTCAAACTAAATTAAGCGGGAAGGTATGGTGGAGGAAGATGCTTGTATTCCATATATTCCTGACAAAAATACAAACTCCCATTGTATATTTTACACAGAAATGAAAAAGGGCATTATGTCAAACTTGTACTGGGGCTTTAGAACTGAGTACCTAATGGGAAAAAATGGGTGATATCTTGAGTCTACAGAAAGGATCACAATTCCTTCTGAATGCAGATTCATGCCTGCATATCTTATTAATCTGAATAGTGAGACAGTAGACAAATCCACATCCAATGACCACAGCCTATGAGAGGAATTTGAAAGTTTGGTACATCCTGGAAGGGGGACTACCCAGCTTCCTTTTGGAAACAGGAAAAAAAATATTGAGAGCAATTTGATTTTGGGGGCCTCCCTGAGCTTGGGGGCCTAGTAAAACTGTACCCCTATCTCAAAGACCCTGCTTATGACCTATAAATACAATGTGTGGAAAAGATGTGCTAATCAGAAAAAAAATAAGGAACTTACAAATATTTTGAAAAGCTACTTCAGATTGTGACTGTGTAGTTTACTAGACAGAATCTTGTTGACTTTTTGGCTCCTACCTGGCTCCTATTAATAGATCTATACTTCCTATTTAAATCAGTGATAGTTCTGAGTGTACAAAAATGCACTACCAGGCCCAAATGGTATATATCAATAGGGAAACAACAATTTGAAAGCCGCTAAAAGCATTTGCTACTCTAGAACTCTGGAGTAGTGTTCATATGCAAAATACTCATTAAAATTGTTTAGAGGTCTGCATAAAGTTAATAAGAGAATATCTAATAAAGCCAAAATCAATTGTGAACAATTCTGAAAGAAATGACAAATTAAAGGGTCCATTTTGTAAACACTTTCACAATAGTAAATATTACAGTTTTCAGGGCCAACTTCTAACATAAGATCAGAACAGCTGTGCTATTTTGTGTTCTGAAGTGTTTTGCTGAGTATTTTCTTTTAAATTTCACATCTGATTACTTTTCTTGAATGTTAGAAATAGCCACATGATAAAAACCTGAAGTTCTCATTTACCCTGAAGTCTTACTATAAAATCCATCAGTTTTGCCAGAATAAAGAATGCAGTATAAAATCTAAAGTGATTTAAAGAATGAGGTGTCTATGTCTACTGTCTTTAATATAGCATCAGCAGTGACCAAAAATGGAGATCTTAATGCTCAAACTAACTGAAAGCACCTTATGGACAGCTGGTCCAAAAAAGTTCTGTTTTCCAGAGCTCTTGGCTGTCATTATTCTGTGAGAACACTGTCTGTGCAGAAGCTGCAGAATACACCCCCATGCCCTTCTGCACAGCAGTCTTCAACCCTGTGTTAGCAAATGAACATCTTTTCCAATTTCCATTGTTAATTTGAAAACATTTTGCTCTAAAGTCTACTTGTGGACTATGAGCCATAATGCAGAAAACGGTACATATAGCCATGAGACCACGCAGAGCCACAGCTCTCATGGGCTAGTTCTATAAACAAAATTGTTTATATAATATATGCATTCCGGTAGTTTAACAAGTAAGTGGACAAATAAGTTCAGAATTACGAAGCCACTTTTAAAGCTTAAAAATGATCATGGTGGAGCAGTCATGAACACATAATTAAGGTTGTATTATATATGTGGATCATTAGAGGAAAAGCCCCTGAGAGCCTGGGAGTCGGTCATTTTGACTTAGGGATGAAGTAATTTCCATTTACTGTGTGTCTGCATGTGCAGGATGAGGAGGGTTGGAAAGGAAGCAAGAATCAGTCATTACAGAAGAAAAATGTATTTTCATAAATTTTCCAGATCCCTATTTCCATCTCCAGGATTGTTGGTGGCTGACTTGACGGATATTATTTTACTTCATTAAGGGCCTGAAGGCAAACTGACATTTCTCCTGAATAGGTCAACATACAAAGGAGTCAAAAACCAGAGCCTTCCCAAAACAGAATGCTTTAGATTATTTTCACCAGTAGAAAGACACAAACAAGAAACCTGGGTATAAATACACTTGCATATATCACTTTTTTAACAAGCTTGTTGTAACAACTGGAGTATGTTTAAACATCAAAAACATACTTGTAATATTAAAAAGTTGCTAAACCATTTAAATTAATTTAAAGGAAACCCTGCAGTGCTTTACTTACAAACCAACCCTATTCCCATGGAAATCGATAACAGTTTTGCCACTTAATTCAGTGGGAGCAAGTTTGAGTGTTTGTGTTCCAGCTCTGGGAAAACCCCTATGAAGCCAAGTGGAATCTTACTCATCTATGGCCTTTGGAATAATGACAGCCAGGCAACATTTGTAGTCATCCCAAATAGAAGTCTCTCTATTCATATAAAAAATCTCAAAGAAAATTGCAACTCAGGAAGAAAAATGCTTGCCCTTACAGTTGGGATTTTAAAGTATTTCTACTAAACTCATTTTTAGTTTTTGGGAAGTCAATAGGTGTCAAAACATTCATATAAAATAGTCTCTTATAACCATCTTAACAAATTAGACATACTTTAGAACTGGACAAGATACAGGGTTTTTTGCATAAGTAAGAAAAGAAAGATAATCACTTTAAAGAATCAGACAGGCCAGGGTGGTACTTTAGATACTAACTGATTCCCAGAGGCATAAACTTTCATAAGGGACAGCCTACTTCCTCAGATTCAGATCAACATGGCTAACTATCTCTAATAACTTTTAAAGGATGTCATAACTATAAAGTGAGAACAGCACAAAAACAATAATTTTGTTTTGCTTTAAAAGTTAATTTTGTGTTCTAAGTCAACAGAAAGTTTAGCTGATTTTAAAGCTACTCACTTGTTTTATAAAGTCAGGGGAGTCGTTCACCATTTTCCCATGCTTTAGGAGCAATCTAGGAATTATATATATTAACATTCAGGGATCTAGGAATACTATTGACCAGCAAATGAAAACAGCGTGTATGTAAAGCAATTAAATCACCACAGAACTAGGATTCCTAAGATTATCCCTACAAAACCTGATTTAAATACCTACCATGACCTTGTAACAGCACAACACTTTACTAAGCAGCAAAGTGTTATTTCTGCTCATATAAAAGCCAAGATTCATTAAAATTAGTGGTCTTTTACATTTAACAAAAAATATCAATTCTAAAACACACATACACAAGAGCACAAACATTGGCATTCATTTGAGTAAACTTTATGCAGATGCCTCCCTTTTTGCCATCAAAAGGGAAAATTGCAAGAAAGACCCCATCCTTCTACCCAGGACAGCTTCAACTACACTTTATGCTATTACATGTGCTTTATACTATAGGCTTTATGCTATAGGCCTGGAACTACATTTCTTGCTGTGCCTAAATCCCCACTAATCTGAATGGGAGTTTTGGAGGGGTAGTAATACATAAACAAGTCACTGACTAAAAACCAAATGCAATTTAGACCTACCATCCAGCTAACAGTTCTCTCTTACTGACAGAAAGTGATTGCCAGGATTACTCTGTTATTTTCAGGAAAGTTATACCAGAGGCATATATTCCATTGTACCTAGCCAATATATTTTATCTTTCCTTTTATACCAAAGGGAGGGACCACTTAAATAAATATGCGTATTGTTGTTTCAGGGCTCATATCACTTAGCCACCTAATGGCTATAAAAAAGAAATAGCAATTGAAGTGCTTCTGGGGGCTTATTGAAATTAAACAAGTGTTCAAAGTCAGAGTTTTGAAAAAAGACTGCAGTCTTAAAGAAAAATAAATGCTGCCTTTTCCTTTAAATTGGGGACTAAAAATATTACATTCAATTTCTGGCTTCCCAGTATTTAAACACTGCCATGATTAAGGCAACTTGTGATGTCAAACACAGTACAAAGGGGCAAATAAAAAGAAAACAATCAAAACAAGTTTCCTGATAAACAACAACAGTTGAAACCATGCCAAAAATGCACACTAAAGATAACCTAATTACTACATATCTTTGTTTACTATTCAAAGTGCATATCCATGAATTATAAAGGAGGAGCCCAGTCTTGCTCCCAGTGAAGTCTATAGACACCTATTGACTTCAATAGAAGACAAATGGCCTCAGCTTTGTGTGTTACATGGCTGCATTAGATATCCGTAATCATACTGAGTACCTGCAAGATGCATTTTGATCCAAACTTAAATGATATCACATCTACACACTTTGTTTTTACAAATATTATAAGGGTATTCAAACTGCTCAGCAAGTGAAAACTTTTGTTTTAAAAAAAAGAAATAAAGATAGTTTTATATGCACATTTTTTAGTGCTTGCACATAACCACTACCATAGGGGCATGTATAAAGTCTACAGCTTGGCTTCAATATAAAAAAAACTTTACATACAGTAATGCAATAATTCAACCTTGTGTGCATAAATAAATTTATGCATACTCCAAATATGGGAGTATTTAAGAGGAAACAAAAAACGTGCACACTTTTTTGTATGAAGCAAAAATTAAATAACCGTAGAAACAGTTTTAAGGATGGATGCTTAGTGTTACCGAATGAGTACCAGATTAAAGGAGGATAGGTCTTCTTCCTTGCACCTGTAGAAACACCAAAGAAAGAAAAGAAGTTCTTAGAAAGTATTTTACATCATTACTGTTAAGTAGACTATACTGTTGCAGAACAAATAATATTTTGGTTTATTTTTACAGTACTGTTGCTAGCAATTTCTTTAGCTATTGCTGTTCAAATAATAGTATGTAGAAGTATCAACATCAAATTGAGTACCAGGACAGATTATATTAGCTTTTTAGAGAATTTACTACTGGTAGCTTGAGGCAGAAAACATGTATTCCATTTGATCTGGGTCCTCCCCACAAGAAGGTCCCTTAATCCATAATGTTCCTTGGAAATCCTCTACACATATAATGATATACAAAAAAATATGTTCTAAATGTATATACCAGGCACATGTGACTGCCTTATGAAGCTCAGAAAAATTAACCAATTGAGTATTTGGCTATACTGACTGTCCAGACATATGATATTAGAAGTCAAAGAATAATTCCATTTGCTTGGTCAGTAATATGAATGTTTTCACTGGGCACTAACAACGGATCAGTTACTCATCCGAATAAAACACGTTAGTGTGACATTAGCTACTAGCACTTATTGAAGCATGACTGAAAGAAATATACAGTGTCCAGCAAAGTATGTAAGCAGGTACTGAAAGACCCAAAACAGCACAGCACTTACACCCCTACTTAAGTTTAAAATTTAGGATCCTAAATTAAAAAAACCCTATTAAGAAAAGTGTTTAAGTATGTGCTTAACTTTAGGCATTTACTTTGGTATCTTAACATTCAAGGACATGTCCAAAGCCAAACATGAACATAAGTGCTCTTTTAAATAAGACTCAAGTCCATCCTTAAAGTGATTTAGCATATCATGGCTTATATCTCATTAAATTTAGGCATGTCTAATGTTTTGCTGAACTGGGGCCTTGCTACTTTGCTAACTCAGGTCTGATCAACATCTTGCATAAATGAATCCTAACTGCAAATTATTTTAGGGCAAGTTGACTTCTTATACACAGATCAGGTTGCAATTAAAGTCAGCTTTTTATAAAATGTGAATGTTTCCTCGAGGTTTAAAAAGTACTCTCAGACGGAAGATGAATATAAGGAGGAGTGTTCACATTCAAATAAAGATATATGAATTCCTCAGCTTTAATTTAGGTTCTTTTCTAAGAGTAGATGCCACCTATAATCATAAAATTGCTCCAATCCAGGCACACAACTCTATGGGTGCATCTACACGTGCACTGTTACTGCACAGTAACCAAAAATGACTGCCCAGTATGGGCACATGCCTACACGTGCACACTCATAATGTGCAGTAACGATGGTGACTAATGCCGACTTGGGCTTAAATTCACTACCTTCATGGTAACAAATTTATGCCTGAGTAGTTACTGCGCAGTAAGGGACATGTAGACGCCTTACCGCACAGTAACCCCAGGTATGTGAACTGACTTGCGACTAACTTTAGTCCCAAGTCAGTCCACACATAGCATTACTGTGCTGTAACACCTGCATATATAGACGCCAGTGTAAAAACTGCTTACTGAGCAGTACATTACTGTGAAGTAAATGCATATGTAGACGCCCT